TCCCTGATGGATTAAAGTACCCTGGTCCTGCTCCTACATTTAAGAACATAAGAACATAAGAGACGCCAATGTTGGATCAGGCCAAAGGCCCATCCAGTCCAACACTCTGTGTCACACAGTGGCCAGAAATACCAGTGCCATCAGGAGGTCCAGCAGTGGGGCCAGGACATTAGAAGCCCTCCCACTGTTGACCCCCCCCCCAAGCACCAAGAAGACAGAGCATCACTTGCCCCAGAGCCCCTAGCTATACCTTGTGGCTAATAGCCACTGATGGACCTCTGCTCCATATGCTTATCTAATTCCCTTTTGAAGCCGTCCATGCTTGTAGCACCCACCACTTCCTGTGGCAGTGAATTCCATGTGTTAATCACTCTTTGGGTGAAGAAGTACTTCCTTTTATCCGTTCTAACCCGACCGCTCTGCAGTTTCATGGAGTGCCCACGAGTTCTTGTATTGTGAGAAAGGGAGAAAAGTACCTCTTTCTTTACCTGCTCTTTCCCATGCATAATCTTATAAACCTCGATCATGTCACCCCTCAGTCGTCTTTTCTCCAAGCTAAAGAGCCCTAAGCGCTTTAACCTTTCCTCATAGGGAAAGTGTTCCAACCCTTTTATCATTCGAGTTGCCCTTTTCTGCACTTTTTCCAAAGCTATAATATCCTTTTTAAGGTGTGGTGCCCAGAACTGCACACAGTATTCCAAATGAGGTCTCACCATTGATTTATATAGGGGCATTATTATATTGGCTGATCTGTTTTCAATACCCTTCCTAATAATCCCCAGCATAGCATTGGCCTTCTTTATTGCAGTCACACACTGTCTCGACATTTTCAGTGAGTTATCCACTACAACTCCAAGATCTCTCTCTTGCTCAGTCTCTGCCAGTTCAGACCCCATCAATGTGTATTTATATTTAGGATTTTTGGCTCCAATGTGCATCACCTTGCACTTGGCCACATTGAACCCCATTTGCCATGTTGACGCCCACTCGCCCATCCTTGACAGATCCCCTTGGAGTGCCTCACAATCCTCACTGGTTTTCACCACCCTGAACAACTTTGTATCATCCGCAAATTTAGCCACTTCACTGCTTACTCCCATCTCCAAATCATTAATGAACAAGTTAAAAAGCAGTGGACCAAGTACTGATCCCTGCGGTACCCCACTGCTTACCACCCTCCACTGAGAAAATTGCCCACCTACACTCACTCTCTGTTTTCTATGAACTAGCCAGTTTTTGATCCATAAAAGGACTTGTCCTTCTATCCCATGATTTTTGAGCTTACTTAGGAGCCTTTGATGAGGAACTTTATCAAAAGCTTTCTGGAAGTCAAGGTAAATAATATCTATTGGATCCCCCTTGTCCACATGTTTGTTCACCCCCTCAAAGAACACTAACAGGTTAGTGAGACAAGATCTTCCCTTACAGAAACCGTGCTGAGTCTGCCTCAATAGGTTTTGTTCATCTATGTGCCTACTAATTCTTTCCTTAATAATGGTTTCCACCAATTTACCCGGTATCGACGTCAGACTGACTGGCCTGTAATTTCCCGGATCTCCTCTGGAACCCTTTTTAAAGATGGGAGTGACATTAGCTACCTTCCAATCCTCAGGAATGGAGGCAGATTTTAAGGAAAGATTACATATCTTTGTCAGGAGATCTACAAGTTCACATTTGAGTTCTTTCAGAACTCTCGGATGTATGCCATCTGGGCCTGGTGATTTTTCAGTTTTTAAGTTGTCTATCAGTTTTAGGACCTCCTCTCTCGTCACCTCAATCTGACTCAGGTCTTCCAACACCCCTCCTGAAATCAGTGGTTCTGGAGTGGGCAAGCACTTCTCATCTTCCACAGTGAAGACGGAGGCAAAAAATGCATTTAGCTTCTCAGCCATTTCCCTATCATCCTTCAATACTCCTTTTACCCCTTGGTCGTCCAAGGGCCCCACTGCCTCCCTGGCTGGTTTCCTGTTTCTAATGTATTTGAAGAAAGTTTTATTGTTGGTTTTTACGTTTTTTGCTATATGCTCCTCATATTCCCTTTTTGCCTGCCTGACCTCAGACTTGCATTTTATTTGCCATAGCCTGTGTTCCGTTTTATCAGCCTCACTGTGACTAGCTTTCCACTGCTTAAAGGAATTCTTTTTACTTTTTACAGCCTCCATTACTCTGTTTGTTAACCATGCAGGCTTTTTCCTATACCTGTTTGTGCCTTTCCTAACCTGCGGAATATATATTTTTTGAGCTTCTAGGATCGTAGTTTTAAATAGATCCCAAGCTTCCCCAATTGTTTTGACCCTTTCTACTTTTCCTTTCAGTTTCCTCCCCACGTGTCCCCTCATATCAGAGAAATTACCCCTTTTAAAGTTAAAAATGGTTGTGTGAGTCTTTTTGGCCAATTCTCTATTTGTACAAATGATGAACTCAACAACATTATGCTGTTGAGGTTCGCTATCCCTAATGATCCCTAATGTTTATACACAAAAAACTTCTGCACAGTCTAGTCTAAATGTCACTTGCATTATATGCATTTTATATTTCTGAAGCTTTGGGTTTTATGAGGGATTAAAATTCTGCCCAAATACCTTGTTTATTCTGTTAAAAATGATAAAAGGTTTTGACAGCAATAGTTTGGGAAGCCTGTGCATCTTTACAAATCAGCTGACCCTCTGAAGATTTAGCACATTCCCTCCCTGGCCACCAGTTCCGCTTGTAAATGTTGACTACGTGGGCAGGCACCAACCGACATTTCACGAAGTGACCCCAGATCTGGTGTGCCTGAATTTCAGAGCACTGCCTTGGAGGATGGCGCTGCCAAATGTGCGGACCAGCCTTCTCACCCACCCACGCACGACAAGCCAGTCGCCCGGAGGCGTGGGCGTCCTCGGTTGCTTTAAGATTGCCCGCTCCACACATTCACGTGTTTGGGAAGTATTAAGAACCGGAGAAGAGGAGAAGCCGAAGGGATTTACCTCGTGATGTCAAGCGACAGGATTTTAAAAGATAATAACAGATGTTTCTATTATTAATAAACATGCAATCGATCAACCATACTACTATTATAAATTCAGCAGGGGGAGGTAGGGATGAGGGCGATGAAAAGAGCTTCGGCTTTTAGGCACACTAGTCTTTCTGTCCTACTCTTCACGCACTCCCCCTCCCACTCAGCTCACTAAGGGGGATCCTCCAAAAGCAGGCTCTGGCAGGTTGCAGCACATCAAAGAGCCTCTTGGGCGCCCGGGAAGGCGGCGCCCCTTCCCGGCCGAGCATTGTGGGGATTGTAGGCAGACGCTGGGCTTCGCGCTCACGCTTTCCCCGCTTGGGGCGGGACTCTAGCGCCCGCCCTCCCTCCCTCCCTCCCTCCCGCCTGCAGTGGGGGGGCTGGGGAACAGACGGCTGGGGAGCCCTCGTTGTCCCTCCGGGTCACTCTGTCCCTGAGAAGAGAGGCCGCCGCCACGGCTGGGAAGGGGCCGCCGGCGGCCAATGCGAAATTGGCTGGTGCTTCTGTGCCCGTGTGCGGTCGGGGTCGCGCTGCACCTCTGGCTGCTGCTCCTCAGCTGCCCGGCTGGTGGCCCCGGGAAGCAGCACCCGGCAGGTAGGGGAGAAGGCAAGCCACGCAGCCCACCACCTTGGCACCAGGCTCCTTCACGGGAGGGGAGGTGGGCGCCTCTGGCGAAGGGGGAGCGTAGCGCCCTTGTCCTCCCCGCCGCGCGTGAGGTAATGGAGGCGCGAAGCAGGTATGTGGGGTGGGTGGCAGGCAGGCAGGCACCTCTCGCCGCCCTCAGCGTGGGAGAGAAGACGCCGCCCGTCACAGTCCGGGCTGGGACGTGACAGAAGAAGCGCCTATGAGTGCACAGGAGACTAGGCTGTCTCTTCCTCCGTTGTGTTTTTTGTGGGGGTGAACTCTCCTGGAGGGGGGAGCACCAAAAGGCTGAGCTGGCGACGCTTCTGCATTGTGAGTTAGTGAGATATCTCCACACACATACACACAGACACACACGCAGCCACCCAAAGGAAAACAAGGGTGCCTTGGACGGTCAGAATCGCCCCCGCCCTCCGCGTGGTTATCCCCTCTGATTCGGGTGGAGTTTCGTGGACGTCGGAACACGGGTGGTTCACAGGGCAGGTGGTTGAGGCTCAAGAGACGGAGTAGGAAAAGAGGATTTAGGGGGTTGAATGGCATCGTTTCCCGAAGGACTTGAAGGAAGGGGGAGGGCGCGAAAGGGGCTGCAAAGTAAGGTGTAAAACAGAAACCAAGAGCAGTATGGGAGGAAAAGAAACAGATTACTTCTGCCTGATTTGTAGGAAAAAAAGAATGCGGGTAAAACATATTGAGGAAAAGGATATTTATAGCCTGATCTCGTACATGCCTGTTTGGAAGCAAGGCCTGAGTGCTATGACAGTTGTTCCCAAGTTCGTGGTCTTGCAGGCTTAGGTCGAATCTGCATTTGCATTTTTAAATTAGTTTCATGCTGCTGTGACAGCTGTCTTTCTCTATGCTTGTTTGAATGTTGTTTGGAGAAGATTCTTTTAAAGCAGTGCAGAGGTGCAATGACAGTGGAGCCGCCCAGAAAGGACGATAAACATATGTGGACATGCAAAAGTATGCTAGCACTCTTGAGGTGTGAAAACCACACCAAATGTAGACAGCTTTTTTGAAGACGGAGTCAAAAGGCTGGGACACCGATGGGAATGACAAATGCAGATTCAGCCTTAGAGTCTTTTTGGGTCTTTTGTTGAAGGCTGGCTGGCTCAGTGGTATAACTTCTGCTTTGTATACAGGTTCACTCCTTGGTATGTCCAGTTAAAATGATCAGGTAGTAGGGTGATGCGAAAGTCCGAGACCCTGGAGAGCCACAGCTCTGTTCACAAGTTACCGTGACCGGCCGTACATCTGTTTGTAAGAAAGAGACAGAGTGTGTTTACTTTACAAATCAAATTTGGGACCAGCACTTGGATAAATATGGGATTTAAATAACATGTTAAGCTGTACATGTGTTGGATGTAAGGTGAAAATTAACTCAGTGCTCTTGTAAAGAAAAATTAAGTGTACTCTGTGCTCAGATTGTATGTGCATTCACTGTTATTTATGAGTAGGGATGCTAAAAGAGTAGAGTAGTTAGAACACAGAGCAGAGAGTACCAACCAATGGTCTGACTTGGTATAAGGGAGTGCCGCAAGTTCATATGTTGTTATCTGTGCCTTGTCTGTCTGGACTGGGGAGGGAGATGTGGCCAGTTAATAGCCTTTATAGGAACTGTAGTCTCAGGTATAGCTAAGAAAAACATAAGTTCCAAGCAATGTAAATACAAAGCAGCTAAAACAGATAAGATTTGAGATATAATCATGGCTTCCTCCTCCTAGAATTTTACGTTTTGAAACCATGTATCATTGTAGCAGGGCCTGGTATGATGTGGTCCATGGTGTCGCGAAGCAAATCATTGTAGCCCAGAGTGCTTGATTGGGGGGGGGGGGGGTCCTGCTGGCTACTGGTGTTAAGAGTAGTTAACAAAGCTATCCAAATAATAAGAAAAGCATTAACAAACAAATTTGCCCTTGAGCAGCTCAGATATTGGCTGCATTTGAAATCATAGTATTTTTAAGCATAGTCAATTGGGGGGCGGTGTACACTTGCAAATAATTATCCTCAAGAATGTTGGTAGGAGTCTGCATGCTTGTATTTTAAGTGTTTACTGCAGTGACCTCCTACAGGTAATAGTTGGGGTGAAAAATGTTTAATGTATACTCTTTTGATGCTTTAAGGCTAGTCTAAACTTGCCCTTCAGGTAGGACAAAGGCTATGAAACCAGTTTGTACAGGTATGACTTCATCCAGCAGTGGGCAAAAACCTTTGAGATATAAATGATGAACTTGAAAAGGGTCTTCTTGACGATATGGAAGGTAGAAATTAAAGCTTATACTGGGAGAGAAAAAACTTAAGATGTTACTACTGTTTGTTTGTGCTGCAGCGGACTAACACGGATACCCTTGTGAAGTTATCATCAGGGAAAAATTCTGGTAACTTAAGTTTATTTGCCTGTCTCATATTTTCAAAAATTATGGGTAAGGTTTTTTTAAGATTTGGGGAAACAGGAATGTGTTTATGCTCTACTATTATTTTTCTATTGCTCAGTAATTTTAATGGACACTTTTCTTGTTCAAGTATTTCCCCCATTTCTCTGTTAACTTTAATTACATTTTTTTTCCTGAATGATATTGTGGTCATTGTGAGTTCATATTGAAAAGTGTAACTTGTTCTGAGGCCTTGTAGAGCCACTGCCAGTCCAAGTAGGTGGGATAGGACAATGGTACCTTAATGTTTTTTCATTTTCCATCTCTGCTAGGAAGCTGTGAGATATGTGAACCATACTGCTTTTCAGTTATTCTGAGTGTCTTCTGGAATGCATCCTAATGTCTGATAGATAAGTGAGTCCTCAAACACCACTTGCCTGCATCAGCTGCCACTGCTCTAGGTCCCAGTTAACTACTTTAGGTCAGTGGTATTCTGGAGTATATTATACATAAATTGTGTACAGGTTTGCATCGGGATCACACAACATAGCATTCAGACAAGAATAAAAGAACATGAAAGACCCTGCAGACTGGGCCAACCTGAAAAATCAGCAATGGCTGAACATAGCCTAACTCAAACAGGACACAGTATCTTATTTCAAGACACTGAAAGGCTGGACAACGCATCCAATTGCCACGTCAGATTACACAGGGAAGCCATTAAAATTCATAAACATAAACACAATTTCAGCAGGAAAGAAGAGAGTTTAAAAATAAATAGGGCATGGTTTCCTGTCCTGAAAAACACAGAATGCTCTACATTTTACAACGGCACTACAGATAAGATTAGAATTTCAACAGCCAGTCCATATGCAAAAGAACCTCCTCAGGAGAGTTCCTCCATTAGCATGTCACAGCCTGGGGAACTCCTACAAGATAATGACTCAGCCCTACCTCACCTTTCTGAGTAGATATAAATTACCTGCCTACCATTTTCCTTCTCACCTTGATGCAGAGAGTACGCCATCTTTCTGTGTTATACCTCTCAGGATGCCAGTCATAGCTGCTGGCAAAACGTGCCAAGACCACGGCCATACAGCCCGGAAAACCTAGAAAAACTCATAAATTGATAGTTTGCTATGTTTAAGTAGAGCTGTTTTTGGCATCGCTTTAGTTAATTTTGGACTGGAAAAGGTTTAACTGATTAAGAGTATGTAGCTGCATTTTACAGAATGAAAAGTCATCGGATCTGTTTATCTGATTTATCTATTATTTATCTAATTTTGCTTTATTGGAAAACAGTGTGATAAAACTGAACCAGTAACCTAGATTTCCCATGAGAGCCCCCTAAAATATACAGAGCAACACTCTCCAGGCAGTCACTGCTAACCCACAATAATCTCGAGACATTGTCTGGCAATATTGTATGAGAACTGGACTCTAAAAAGGGTTTTGCTTTGTTTACTTCTGGCTTTCACATGCTCAGATCTCTCCAAACCAGTAATTGGAAGCAAGGTCCTCATGGATCTAAATGCAAAAATAAAAGTGTAAGACAGATGTCTGTCTAGCGAGTCAGAGTCAGTAATTTGGATTGGGATGTGATTTCTTGATCTGTCAATAATCTCTCACTTTTTTTGAGGCCATATTGCAGAAGGTCCCCAATTTAGATTAGGGCCATAGTGTGATGAGTGCGCATGTTCTGATGTTGTGTCTAGTTTGCTTAGGGTTGCTTATGGCTGGAAGGCTTCTGCTGTTGGGCCTGCCCTCCCACTGTTGCTCTCCAGACCGGTAGGAGAAAGGTTCCAGGGGCAGAAATGAAGTACCATGGAGTTTTGGGGCCAAGGAGTCACTTGACATTTATATGTCACATCCTGAGTTTGGGCTGGGTGTGGCACCACATAATGTCATTTCCACCCTGGCCCCGCCCCTAGTGCTCCGAGGGATGCCAGTAACTGGCCTAACATCTCAAAGTCTGACCCACTTGTATACAGACGATAACTTGATTTCAGACCTCTGATGTTTCCCTGTGGTGAGGTGCTAGAGGACAGAAGTGAACCTTGTGTGACCTAGCATTCCTTGCAGACATGAAGGCAGCGGGAAACCAGGAGTAATATAACTGCATGGTCATAATGTGACTATCCGGGAAGTGACTTCATGTAGAAATCAGCACGGGGTGGATTCAACAGTAGCTAGTTCTACTTTGGAAGGGAAATGTGAATATCGTTCTAGTTTGCTGTATGCTTAAGACCTCTTCATATGTTATCCTTTTAGCATGTACATATTTTGTACAGCATACACTGGAATGATCTTTGTGTTTTAAACTGATTGTGAGGCAAGTGTATCCCACAGGGACCTCGTTATGCTTTGTCTGCATTCAAAATTTCATGTTTTCATGACATAATCTATGAAACTGCCCTCAGAAATTAGCATGATGTATAGTTGGGTCTTTGAACAGTAACACTGGTGGGAAATGTGATTTAAAATTATAAAATGGAGTAGCAAAGTGAGAGTGCTGCTAAGTAGCACAGGTAATATAAAAAAATCTTTCAGGAGATAATTTAAACTTACATAGACTGGAGCAACTCTGTTTAGGATTGCTCTGTTAGTTACTTTTTAATGAGATAATGTACCCCTTTAGCTTCTTAATGAGAATTGATAGTCCTTATAGACTACTCATATTTGTTAGTATAGAATTTTCAATAATATTTATACCATGTGATGAAATTTCTGAAAATATTCAGAATATTGTTTTATTATATAGCAAAGCTTAAAAAAAGTTAGGGGGGAACTGATTGTTCAAACCTACTGGATTAAAAAGAGAATCTTTTTACTGCATGCATCTGTGGCAACCAGGCCTGGAATGCTAAAGGGACTTCTGTCTACCAAGTCAACTCCAAGAGAAACTTTACTTGGTTCTTGAACGTTAACTTTCCCCAACCCTTGTCTCATCCATGCTTATGATGTTTGTATCTAGGTGATTAAGAACATTATGTTTTACTGTGTGTACTGTGGAGAAAGCGTTGTCTCCCTTGGGAATATCTCATGATTAAGAAAGCTTTTCTTAAAACACAATACTTTTGAAATACATTTTGTTTGATTTAAACAACACACACATAAAGAAAAATATCGATCCAAAATAATTTACTACAAAACATATTTATCACTCAACATGATGCTTCTCAAAATATCTTAACTAACTTGACCTTAATGTTCTCAGAAAATAATAGGAGACAGCATTCGCCTTCACACCTCTACCCTAACTTATTCCACCCCATGAATGATTGAATGATTGAATGATTGGATACAGAACAATTTAATCTTTCTACATTTTTATTTTGTTGTAGTGCACTAAAACTGATTAGGATATATACTTCTTTTATTTTATTTAACCATTCTTGTTTATTTGGAAGAGTATCTTGCTTTCATAACTTGGCAAATAACTGTCATACCTCTGTTAATAAATTTAAAGTGATAACTGGCAGTCTTTTAGAGGTGATTAGAACAAAGTCCAGAAGCATAATCTCTGGAGTAAATGGAACTTAAATTCCCATTTCTTGCTCTTCAGGAACTACTGCCATTTTCTAGATAGAGTCTGTTAGCCCACTCATGTCTACTGTGTATGGAAAAATGTCGTTTTAGGAATTCTGAAATACCAGCTTGCATCTTCTGATGTGTTATAAATTTTAGCTAACTCCAAGGAGGTAAGCCCCACAGATATGTTTTCATAATTAATGAAAACATCTATGATAATTTTGTGACCGTAGGCAGGGCTTTTTTCTGGGGGAATGTACCAGAACAGTGTTCCAGAACTTCTTTGACAAAAATCTTTTAAAAATGTTTAAAAGTTCATGAGTTTTCAGTGTACAGATTGAAAACTTCATTTCCCTCTTGAGAGTTTAAAGAAAAAACTAAAACCCAGCCCTGACTGTAGGAATCAGTGCTTGGAGCTATGTCATAACAATGTCTTGAACACATCTAAGGCAAATATATATATTAGTAGAACATGGTGCGGTGGCTCAAGTGGTTAAGATGCTGAACTGCAGGCTGTGGAAGGTACATGCGCCTTGGTGTTTAGTCATGTCGGCCACATGACCACGGAAACGTCTTCGGACAGCGCTGGCTCTTCGGTTTTGAAACGGAGATGAGCACCGCAACCCTAGAGTCGGATTCGACTGGCTTTCGAGCAAGGGAACTTTTACCTTTTTAGAACATGGATATAATTTTGTTTCTCTTTCTAGTCAGCCAGAAGGTAAACATGAAGTCACAGGAACATGTTTGTTTCCTTCTTTGTTCACAGACAGGAAAATGGCACTAGGGAACATGGCCTAAGACATTATATGTGGAACTTGCATTGTAAGTTTTTAGAACTTTATGGGATATAATAAAATTGGATTTCTGAAACTACATCTTCTGTTTTACGTGCAGTAGTTGTTCCAAATTGTCTTGGCATTTAGTTGATTTGTCATCTTAATTTTTTTGGATTCGTTCTCAAATTAAGCAGAGTGAGACGAAACTGATCCCATGCCAGTGCTAAATATAAGTCTAAGTCATTCCGTTATAGAATAACTGATTGGAAATAGGTCAGGAATAAGGAATGCTTTTCCTTATTGGCTTTGGGATTCTTCTCACATTTATCAGGTTTCACTTTTAGTGAGCATCCTATTTAAAAGAAATGGGACTTTAGTAACGGGCTGATTTGTACATTTATTTTTAGTGATGCTTTTTGCCATTATAATTGAAGAGCCACATAAATAGCAAAAATACGGGGGGGGAATGTGGTTTACCAGCTCCTGAAACTTTTAAGAGAGTAGAAGCTTGTCAGTAGGTTAAATGAATGTTTGGACTCCTAATTTTATAGCCTTCCTTCTCAATATCAGATTCTTTTAATCAAATGTAAACTATACTCATCAATGTTTTACTATGTAAACAGCTTTGAAAACTTTCGTTGAAATGTGAAATGCAAATTAATAAAAGTCATAGGGGAAAATGTTAATGTGTACAGCAATACAACAAATAGATATACAGGATTTTTCCTGTTGGTGTAGGGATGCCAGTCCCCAGGTGGGGGCGGGGGAGTCCCGATTTATTGAGCTCTCTCAGGTGCTGGTCAGCTGACCAGCGGGGAAGCCCCGTCCCCAACAGTCATCCGCAGCCCCGCTTGAAAAGAGTGGGTGCAGTGTATGCCTGCCCTACAAGCTGCAGATTCATGGCTTGCAGGGCAGGCACCATCGGAAGTTCCCTTTAAGTGGTTGGGGGAAAGTGGGGGGGGCATGCATGGCACTCCATCCCTGATACGATGACATCACTCTGTGATTTCATTGCATTGGAGACGGCCTCTCCCCCTCCTGGCATGCCCCCCATATCCCCCCCGGCCGGGGGGAAGATTGGACCTGGCAATCCTGTGTTGATGTCACTTCACCTCCTTGTGTGTCAGTTTGCAAATATGCAAAATTACTTATCTGAAATTCTTATTGCCTTGTCTATTCCAAATATAGAGAATACTTTCCCGTGAGGCAAAGCACCCTAGTTTCACCAAGGGTTGACATGAATAATAGTGGGTCTGCTTCAGCTTGCAGGTGTTTGTAATTAACCTTCTTTTAGATACTATCTGTATCTCTTTCAGGGTCTGATATCAGAAGGTGGTAATTGGCTAAGCGAAGAGATCAGCACTCAGTTCAGTAACTAGATGGGATGGGGGGATCCAAGAGTGAGTTGCATCATATCTTGGAGGGCTCCAGTGAACAAGCGCTTTGCTTGGATTCTGGAGACCACCTGATGTCAGAGAGCACGGAACTATAATTGGGCCTTAGATAATGGCGACATTATGTTAACTTTTAATCCCATGGGACAGGTGTATACGCTTCTAGCCTGGACTCTGCTGTTTTGAACGGTGCACTAGTTATTGCCAGGTATTAAGCGTCGGAAAGAAAAGTTTGCTTTTATTGTGCTATTTGCTAATTGACTCCAGAGACTGTGTTGCCTAGTAGTATTCTTAATTTTGTTTGTTCAGTAAGTCGGTGTGTATTTTTAAAGGTCTTGATCTTCCTGTGTGCATTTAACCTCAGAGACCCATGAGTCTGAGCACTGCTTGCTGGTCTGTGAGTAACTTCAAAATGCTGCGAGGGATTGGGCCTGTAGTGTGGTGGGCTGACGTGCTCTTGTTCCCACTGTGTGTGGGGTGCCTGTTTCAGCACTTCAGAAGGCTTTGGGGGGGGGTATTGTGGGCCTGATCAAGATTGGAATCCTGTGGTACTTTTAAATCACTTTAAAATGGTGATGGCATCCGTATAGTGGATGCAAGATGCCATCACATCCAGTTTGGCCCTATGTTAGCCTATTGCAGGGAAGGAAAAACAAGTCTTATATTGGCTTAAGGAGAACAGATTTGTTAAAATGTAAGCTTTTGTAGGCTACAGCCCACTTCATCATCTGCTCACAAAAAATTACGTTTCAGTAAATTTGTTCTTCCTTAAGGTGACACAACACTTTAAAAAATGGATCATAATTCATGATTTTTTTCTGCAATCCAGGGGCTTCCCTTTGTTGCAGGGAGTTTTCCATAGGATTCAATCCCATGTAATCTTCTTCTTCCTTACAAAAATACTGACCCCATTCTGTTTGTATGTTTCACTTTTCTCCTTTACTGTTTGAGGATTTGATAAGTCTGGCCTTTAGATTTGTAGCAGCATATGTTTGCATGCTTTTCTGGTAAGGCATTATTCATTTTTATACCTCATAGGTCTACTGGCTTTCTTTCCTCACTGGAAACCGAAGCATTATGATGTCATTGTAGGGGTACTGTCTGCAAGACACAATGAAGAGTTGCGTAATGTTATAAGAAGCACTTGGTTCAGGCATTTGAAGCAACATGCAGGATTAAATCAACGGTAATTCCCAGTATTTACTTGCTGCCTCTCTCATGAAGCCCCAGGCCTAATACCAATGCTTATATATATGAGATCATTGTGCTGATTTAGTTGGTATTAAAAATATTTTACAATCATTACAGACAAGTTGAGGAATTCTAGGATGGGGGAACACTTTGAAATTCCACCTCTCAAGTCTTGCCTTCGAGAATTCTGTAAGCTTTCTGGGACTCTCAGTATTTGATCGCTTTTATTTTCTTAGGATGATTTTTGAGGGCCCCCCCCCCTTTTCTGAACATGTAAGGGAGTCTACTGAGTATTCAGAGATGTCTGCCTTGTCTGTGGGTGATTTGGTTTGGCTGCGTTCATCATCCAGACAATGGTCAGACAGTTTACTATTAGACAGGGGTCATTTCGTAGGAAAAGAGGTGCAGGAGCTCATTAGCATAACTCATTAGCATAACTTATTTGCATATGCCACACCCCCTGACGTCCCCGGAAGTGTGTCAGATGGCAACACCCAACGCTCAGGCTCCACTGGACTGTTTTGGATTGCTAGCTATTGGGGGGGGGGAACGTGCAGATCTGTCCTTACAGAGGAGGGAGAGCTTGTACCTGAATAAAACTTGGTCTTAAAGGTGCCACTGGACTGTTTTGGACAGGGGAGCTGGGGGGGGGGGCTCTGCAACTTACCTGGCTGCTTCTTACTCTTACTGAGGGCTGCTGGGAGCAGGGGGTGGGGCTTGTTGCATGTGCCCGCCCCCTGGGCTCTTTACTGCCGGAGCTCCGCTCCTGTGCGCTCCTGCAGGAAATGACCCCTGCTATTAGATATGTTATAGGAAGTTCTGAAGCCTACCTCTCAGTGCTCTCACATAAAGTGTTCTAACCAAAACTATTCATCTGCTTTGAATGGTGCTTCTCTCTGTCTCTCTCATAAACATGAATTTCCCAAGGTAGTGTCTAGAATTGCTCTAGTGTTCCATGATACTTAATTGAATACTACTAAAATATGTATTAATCTTGAAGAAAAAATTGATACTAAAATGAGACCAGCAGTAGAATAATTTTGTGTGCTAATTTTATTGCTGTTTAAAATGCGTGTGTGTTTTAAATGCCATTAAGTTGCTTCTGCCTTACGGTGACCCTATGAATTAATGACCTCCACAATATCCTATTGTTAACATCCTTGTTCAGGTCTTGCAAACTGAGGGGCCCTCTGGCTTCCTTCATTGAGTCAATCCATCTCAGTTTGAAGTGTAATAGCTGATAATCCTTTATTATGAGGAAAACGCCTTTTCTAAAGGACAAAACTGAAGTGTGTTATATCAATGATCTTAGCTGTGTTATGGGATTTTATGAATACGTCCTATTGTGTGGGAAACAGATATTTGTCCTTATAATTAGTATTCTGAAGATGGTGATATGGAAATCAGTAAGTCTTCTTAATGATGACATTTTAGTGTCCTTGTGAAGTTCATAATTGGTTCACGTGGATGTGATGTGCCAGTGGAAGATCGAGAAGATCCTTATTCATGCAGACTTCTGAATATCACCAACCCAGGTATGAACATCAGGATATAAGAGTATTTTTTGTACTGGATAATTGGTGTTTTGTCACACGCATATTCCAAACAGTAAGCCTTGAAAACTGTACACTTTTAACTGCCACCGTTTTCTGCCCACTGGGGTGCTATTATGATAAAATAAAATTTCAGAGGTTGATGTGACAGACCATTTTTTCTTTATGTTAGATGAGCCATGAAAAATAGTCTGCAGTTTTACCGATCCCTCTTCCAGGTAAATGTATTAAAGATATAAGCAGCTTCGAAGTGCATTATCTCCTGAACTTACCAGTGATGATAATTATAATATGGAGACCATCCATGCCTCCTAGAATACAGAGCACTCCAGTGTTACTGGATCTTGATCACTTTCTTCCCACTTAAAGGGGCTTGTCTTGTGCTCTCTTTTTTGAACAGTCCTGAATCAAGAAATTGAAGCATTCACTTTGCCAGAGGATGATACTTCAGTGCTTTCTGAAGACAGAGTTGTCAGTGTACATTTCAAAGTCCTTTACCCAATTGTTATTACAAGTCTCGGGGTGTTCTACGATGCTAAGGGTGTAGGATTCCAGAGAAACATCACAGTGAAACTGTACCAAGCAGAACAGGAGGTATGATGCTATAGTTATTGTAACAGAATGGACTAAATCTGTAGCCATTTTAAACCAGGAAAGGTTAAGCATGGAGAGACAAAAGGTCTCTGTGAAGAGTGAACATGCATTATGGGTTTTGTAATGTTTAGTCTTTTGGCAGTTTTGTTTTCTTAGATATAGTCAGGTAGTTTTGTTGTGGTGTGTGGAAATCTGTATACTGTAAGAGCATTTCAAAGGCTCTAAATGTGGCAGTAAGTAGAGGGAAATGATATCTCTTGCCTCCCCCACCCCCACCCCAAAGCAGCAGCAACTCATGACACAGGAAAAAGGAACATGTTCTTTCCTTACTAGGCCACCCAAAAGTATATTAATGTGCCAGGCTAACTCTTGGGTTTCAGTACAGCTGAGTCGGAACAGCTTTGTTTTTAAATTCAGTTGTTGAACAGTGTCCTCGTTTTTGGGTTCTTTCAACTCTCCCCTTGGAATTTTGTCTTTTATTCAAATCCTGAATATTAAAATGCTCATTTTTTTAAGGGGACAGGGAACTCTGCAGCCTCAGAGGGCATAGCTCAGGGAAACTCTAGAGCCTTGGGATGAAGGGAGCTAAGGATTCCCTAGGCTGCCTGATCAAACTCGCTTAGGTAGAGTTAATTGTATGTAAGCCAAGATCAAATCAGTCAATCCTAAAAGAATTGTTCCCTGACTGTTCCCTGGAAGGCCAGATAATGAAACTGAGGCTCAAATACTTTGGCCACCAAATGAGAAGGGAGCACTCACTGGAGAAGACCCTGATGCTGGGAAAGATTGAAGGTCAAAGAAGACGGGGACGGCAAAGGATGAGATGGTTAGACAGTGTCATAGATGCAACGAACATGAAGTTGAGCCAACTTCAGAGGACGGCGGAAGACCGGAAGGCCTGGCGTGATCTGGTCCATGGGGTCGCGAAGAGTCACACTCGACTGTGCGACTGAACAACAACAACAAAAAACCCTCTCCTAGCCCACGTGACTCATACTGAGGGCTTCCGGATAAAGGATCATTATCTGTACTTTAACATAATTGGGTTGAGGAAATTTCACTTGGATCTTCTCTGTCATTTTCTGCTGTAAACTAGCTCAGGGAGCAAGGCTATATAATATTAATAACAAGTGTTGCTTACTAATTTGTTGCTTTGTTTTTGTAGGAGGCACTCTTCAGTGCTCGTTTTAGTCCTCCTAGTTGTGGAGTACAAGTGAACAGACTTTGGTACAAACCTGTAGAACAGTTCATTCTGCCTGAGGTATGTGCAGTATCTAAACTGGGGCACAGACGAAACGAATACTTATCCATGGGTTTGTTTGTTTTTCATGTGTCCAAGTTTATTCAGCCTTTTTAAAAGGTATTGAATTATTGTTGGCTTCGAAAGTGTTTTGCAGTGTCACACATACCAGTGTAAAGATCTGTGATTTATTACAGTATTACAGTGTAAAGATCTGTGATTTAATTTGTTGTCCTGTAAGTAAATGAAAGCTCCTTACAATCGTAATGATTTAATGATGGGGGGGGAAATGGCATTCATGAGAACTGTCTCCAAGTCTTGATGCGGAGAGATCATTTTTATACTGATAAGTCAGCTTTTGCTCATAGGATGTAAAGAGGAGGTATTAGCAACCCATTATATTCCAGAATTTTGTGGATAAAAGTCTGTTTTGTGGTTCTTACGGTGGGACGTGGATGGAGTCTTGGACTTAAACTTCGATTCACATGCCAGATCAGCCAAGGACTATTTCTTAAACCATTTTCTGCCTGTAATATTTGAACATTAGCCTCTGTCATAGGGTAGCATGTAAATGAATAAAACAAGAAAATATCATTACTTCTCCCGGAATTACTTCATGGAACTGATGGTTCATTGAATGGAGATGTGTACAAGAAAAGTATAGTGAAAGCTGAGTTTTGAAATTGACAGATAATTTCAAAATATTAGGTGTATGTCGCACATTAACCACTTCCAAGTAGTAATTAACATGAAACCTGTACGTAGACGGTGGTTTCTTGTAATAGGTATACTGCTATGATTGCTTTTAGCTTCCCAGTTGTATATGTTTCTATGTAGAAACACAAGAAATTAGCATCAAACCTTTTCACACTCATGTGTTTCATGTTAATTCCCACTTGTTAGTGCCATGTAGGAATTTACCAATATGTTAACGATTGATGTCCCAGGTCTGCCTCCTCCTGTCCACCAGGACGAAAGTTCCTGGCACCCCATGGAAGGTACCCATGCTCCACCCTGCTGCTGACTGGAAACGCTGCAGGGGGATCACATGGTCCCTTTCCCTTCTCCATGCCATGCCCTGCAGCTGCAAAATGGCTGCTTAGTAAGTCTGTGGCTGTGGCTTACCTTTGGAGAACTGAAGTCTTTGTGCTAAGAACAAAGTGCTTTACAGATTATCATTAGGTATTGACATAAAAACATTGCTATAAATGTGTGACTTCAAGGCTTCCTGATCAGTCTGGGAGAGGAGGCCTGCTGTGCAACAGTGGCATAATAACTGTTCGGACTTTGGATGGGAGGCAGGAAGAAGACAGCAGATGACAACGGTACAGTTAAGGAATATTTTGAGTTATTCATTTAGTAGCATGTAGAGTGCTAAATAAATGTTTATACTAGTAATATGAGCCTTTTACAGAACCCTACGTATATATCTGGGGAACCCTATGTATATATCTGGGGAAAAGATCAACAACCTCAGATATGCAGACGATACCACTCTAATGGCAGAAAGTGAAGAGGACCTAAAGAGCTTCTTGCTCAGGGTAAAAGAGGAGAGCGCAAAAGTGGGCTTGAAGCTCAACATCAAAAAAACTAAGATCATGGCATCTGGCCCCATCACTCCTTGGCAAATAGAAGGGGAAGTCGTGGAAGTAGTGACAGACTTCACGTCCTTGGGATCCCAGATCACCGCAGACTGTGACAGCAGCCATGAAATTAAAAGACGCCTGCTCCTTGGGAGGAAAGCGATGGCGAACCTAAACAGCATGATAAAAAGTAGAGACATCACCCTGCCAACAAAAGTCCACATAGTCAAAGCAATGGTATTCCCAGTAGTCATGTATGGCTGCGAGAGTTGGACTATAAGGAAGGCCAAGCACTGAAGAATAGATTCTTTTGAACTATGGTGCTGGAGAAGACTCTTGAGAGTCCCTTGGACTGCAAGAAGAACAAATCAGTCAATCCTCAAAGAAATCAACCCTGACTGTTCCCTGGAAGGCCAGATAATGAAACTGAAGCTCAAATACTTTGGCCACCAAATGAGAAGGGAGCACTCACTGGAGAAGACCCTGATGCTGGGAAAGATTGAAGGTCAAAGAAGATGGGGACGGCAAAGGATGAGATGGTTAGACAGTGTCATAGATGCAACGAACATGAAATTGAGCAAACTTCAGAGGACGGCGGAAGACAGGAAGGCCTGGCGGGAGCTGGTCCATGGGGTCGCGAAGAGTCGGACTTGACTGTGTGACTGAACAACAAATGGATATATTCTTGTGGATACTTTCTGGATAACTGCTGTTTTAAGACTCTGGAAGAAATATAATGAAATGGCTTTTCTGTGCAGCAGATTTTCCAAGGTGGAACATAGGAGCTGGCTTTAGCACTGGCTTTAAGAATGATTTAATTGTTTGGGTTTGTTGTCACTGCCTTGAGCTTCTACTGAAAAGGTATTTTTAAAGCAGGGATTCACAGATTGAGGTTGGGCTTCGTAGCCAATTGTTATTTTCTACTCACCAGCTTTAAAGTTGAATCTCAGCACAATATTACTCATAAAAATAAGATAATTTCTTGGTTAATTGAAACTTATAACTGTTAATGAAGGAAAATAATTCTTTAAATTTTGTTTAAAGTATCAGTTTGGACCTACATCAAGTAGGGTTGTCAGGTCTCTGAGACACTGGCAGATGGAAGAGGGGGATGCTCTAGGAGCCAGAAACATCGCTTCTGATGTGCCGACGTCACTGGAAGTGACCCTCAAACACTACAGTTTTGCCCAAACCAGAGTGTCACTGACGTGCCTATGTCATTTCCAGGTGATGTTGGCACATTACCTGACATTGCTCTTGGGGAGGATTTCCTCCCGCTGGCCAGCTGGGTGGCTGTGGGCAGGAGCCTGCAGAAGCAGGAAATCCCCCACCCTGAACTGGGAAATGGTAACCCTAATATCAGGGTATACAGACTTCACCCTTCTGAGATCTACTTTGTTTATAAATAGAACCCCAATATCTGCCAAACCCAGAATCATGCATAAAATTATAGTTAACTGGGCAGAACCAAGCACGAGAGAGTGGGTTAGGGAAGTGACTCAGTTATTATTTGTTGTTTCACTCTTCTAGGAGAGTTTCGATACACTACTATAAAAAAAGAATTCTTATCCCTCCCTCAAGTGTGGTAGGAACTAAAGACACCAGAGATTCCGTACTAGGGATGCCAGCCTCCAGGTGCGATCTGGGGATCCCCCAGAATTACAGCTCATTGCAAGACTACAGAGAACAATTCCCCTGGAGAAAATGGCTGCTTTGGAGGGTGGACTCTATGGCATTGTATCCCACTGAGGTTCCTGTCCTCTGCAGGCTCCATCCTCAAATCTCCAGGAGTTTCCCAACCTGGATCTGGCAACCTTGCCCCCCCATTCTCTGCCAGTGGCCGGGTGGGTGTGGGGAACCTGACAACCCTATGCCATACCCTTCAGTGAAGTCCTGGAGGTAATACCTGTGTGGGGTTAAGGAAACAGTCAAGAGAGGAGGCCTGGGGTACAGAAAGATCTGGGGAGGAGAAAGAGAGGCAGGCAGATGAGGGAGAAACAAGCTAAACATCTGCAATTTGCTCTCCCCTCACACCCTCGGGGAAAGTGCCTGGGGCAAGCAGCTTTGCATATGAATAGGAAACAGAAGATACAAAGCACTTAAACAGAAAGATAGAAACCTCTCCCACTTATAGAGAAGCAGCCAGGATGAACTGATGGATCACTGCGCATTTTGTCTACATTATCGAGAGTCATTTCTTGGTGGGTTGTGTGTCTACCAGGGTCAGAAACTGGCATGCCACAAGTACTTTTGTAGAAGATTGTTCATAAGTTTTTAGAATTACTCAGAGGGTTCTAATCTTTGACACTGCATTTTTATAGGCATACACATACCATCTTACATATGCACCTGTAAAACTGTAATATGTCCATGTGGCAATTGTGCTTTTTTTACAAGCATATTTGGTATATAGACCCAGATTGGCTGTGGCTCTTTTTCATGGGCTTTCTTTCATGTGGTAGGAAACACACATTGGCCTCTGTGTAATGTGTGAGGTGGCCCTGTGTCTGCTAGAGTTATTCTGAGAACATTCTGACAATCACTATCCATGTCTAGGCAACTTTAGTGAGGTCTTAATGGGAAGCTAAGAATCTGTAGAATGTGGCGGCCTGCCCTGTGCAGCTGTGGGAGGGGAAGATCATATTTAGCCTGTTCAGTTCCTGTTGCAATCAAGGCTTCTTATTATTACTTATAAACCTTAAGGATTGCCTCTCTGTGCCTAGAGACTGCCTGGAACGGCTTTAAATAGGGGGGAAGGAACTAACACAATATATAAATGGAGTGAGTAGGTTGATGTCTTCTGTCTTCTTGATTGAAGTGCACCTGTCCGTTTGATATTCTTAAGGAGAGCAACAGAGGTTTTTTTAAAAATAACTTCATAACAACCAGTTGTCAGGCCAAATTAACACTGCTTGAGAAAGCTTCAAGCTGATAAAGGATAAGAGAAACTACAGCCAAAATAAAAGAGTCAGAGAAATGGAGTTTTCTTAGAAGCAAGTTTTAAAACATTTATTTGTCCCTGACTCAACCCTGTCTATTGTTTGTGTATTAATGGAAGAGCCAAAATATCAATAGGCTCAGCACCGTTTGACATTTTAAAAAAACCTGTCTTTGTCAGTACACCTGTCCAGGTGTTTTCATCAGTGCAAAAGCTATGAGGTGGCATTTAAATATGGAGAAACCCGATGATGTAGTCCAGATCTGCCACAAATGTCTTCCTTTCTGTAGTTTTAGCCCTGAGATTTTCATTACAATAAAATAAAATAAAAAAATAGCTGAAGGCCAGTGTCATTGTTAACTTGCTCACCTACTTCTTTGGGTAAACAAGGATTCTGCATTTCAGTGCATGTTAAAATATAAATTAATGAAGCTTTTCCAAAATATTGGACATTTCCCCAGTGTCTTTGCCCCTTCATGTCCTTTAGCAGATAGAAAAAATCCAGCCTGAAATAAAATCGTATTAATAACTGTGCAACATATTAATAACATACTGTCTAGAATTTCATAGATGGAAAGACAGATGAGAGGTGATATTCCTGTTTTCTGTGCCAACGTTCAGTACTGAATTTGGTTATTGCTGAAAGCTGTACTCTTTGTGCTGTGGCTGTCTATATGCGTATATTCAAGAACCTGATTTCTGCTGATAAGTCATTTGATAAATGAGGGATTCATCAGCAAAAGTACACTAGAAAGCTAGAAAGTAGTGTGAGCTACCTAAACTTGTAAGGAGTTATAAAATGGAGGGGGGGGGAGAGCAAATTAAAGCAAAGTGGAGCATGCCGTGTGTTCAGACAGTCTGACAAGGGCTTTCTGGAAGAGGCTCTTGCAGCCCAGTAGTCTGACTTCCTTTCTACTTAATGTTTACTTGCTTCACTCTACTTTCTGAAGGTGGAGCTATATATTGTTTTGGCAGACATGAGTCTCCAACGTACTGTTTATGGTGATAAGGGAGAAAGCGGTTCCAGAAGGGCACTTAGGGGGGAGATTTGGCAGATACAGTAACTTAACTCCTGCACTTTCCCCTGTGGTCATTTTATCTCATGTGATTACTGCCCCCGCTTTTGCATTAATATTCTGAGGAAAACATGGGCTAGGAAACCTCTTTATTCCTTTTTAATATAATTTTTCACCCTTAAACATGTACCTAGTGTTGGTGGTCAACTTTTGTGATATGATCACAAACGACTTCTTTTTAAACCTTATCAAATATGCTCGCTTTTAAAGAATTCTGTTTTTAGAAAACAAGAAAGCTCCCTGGTAATATGTTTATGCCATATACTTTTATGCCCTGTAAAAATTTACACTGGAACAGTTTGCAAATGTAAAATAGACTAATAATGAATTTAAATAAGAGAGAGGTGTTAAACATAAACTAGCAGATGATTTCACCAAAAATGGTAATGACAACAATAGAGGCTTCTATTGAGCTTTCAGACTTCACGTTCCTGGGATCCCAAATCACCGCAGACTGTGACTGCAGCCATGAAATTAAAAGACGCCTGCTACTTGGGAGGAAAGCGATGGCGAACCTTAACAGCATGATAAAAAGTAGAGACATCACCCTGCCAACAAAAATCCGGATGGTCAAAGCAATGGTATTCCCAGTAGTCATGTATGGCTGCGAGAGTTGGACTATAAGGAAGGCCGAGCGCCGAAGAATAGATTCTTTTGAACTATGGTGCTGGAGAAGACTCTTGAGAGTCCCTTGGACTGCAAGATCATCAAATCAGTCAATCCTAAAAGAAATCAACCCTGACTGTTCCCTGGAAGGCCAGATAATGAAACTGAAGCTCAAATACTTTGGCCACCAAATGAGAAGGGAGCACTCACTTGAGAAGACCGTGATGCTGGGAAAGATTGAAGGTCAAAGAAGACGGGGACGGCAAAGGATGAGATGGTTGGACAGTGTCATCGATGCAACGAACATGAAATTGAGCCAACTTCAGAGGACAGCGGAAGACAGGAGGGCCTGGCGGAATCTAGTCCATGGGGTCGCGAAGAGTCGGACTCGACTGTGCGACTGAACAACAACAAAATTACTGACAGCACATACTGCATAACTTGCAGATGCTCTTGTTCCATGGACCTGGCAGATAGGCAAAAAACCTCTTTCGGGTATTTCATTGGACTTATCTGGTACTAAGTGTCCTGTTATCCCTAACTGATTTCCCTGTACGTAAAATGCAGTATTTATGGTTCAAGAAGCTGTTGGCTTCGGTATGGATATGTACATTAGAATTAGACTGTAATACTTCTATTTTATTAAGTTCTCCAGAGAGCATTAACAAACTTGAAAAATCCATTTGTATAGTTAATACTTTGGTATTTATATGCATATATAGATATTTTCTTAACAGTACGTGATGGATTGTTTTGGCAGAGTTTTGAAGGCACTATTGTGTGGGAAAGCCAGGATCTACAAGGCCTCGTGTCTAGAAATCTTCACAAAGTGATGGTGAATGATGGAGGAGGTGTCTTCCGAATCACTACGGTTGGTCCTTTATTCCCACATCTGCTTTTTATAATGGCAGCACTTTGGTAAACATTTTAAATGGTTCTTATATACTTATCAGATACTTTTTGTATTGTATTCAAGTTATTTCCCAAACTTATTGTTACCAACTGTTAAACATTGGTAAAATACACTCTCTTTTCTCTGCTCTTACTGTGAAGATGCTGGTTTATTCTCTTTTCCTTGCCTAGCTTGAGTACTTCAGTTTCCTTCTTCCTGGTTCATCATCTTTTCTTTTTCTTAACTTGGCTACTTGTTTACTTTTCTCTGCCTCATTTTATTCATATTTTTCCTTGTTATTCTCCCTTCTAGTTTCTTACTATGGCTGGTATAAGCTTCCGCTTTATACTTCTATCTGTACGTCTTGGCTCCTCACACTCTCCTCCCCTTATTTGCTCCTTCGTTGTCTCTGCTCTGCTTTCCTTTAGACTGTGCCTAAAGATTTTTTTCTTTTATGTAAAGTCTGTTTCGTGCACCTTTTTCTGTGGAGCTCAGTGTCCCAAAATATCAGCTATATCACAATAACGCTGTCCCAGTGTTCCACCTCTTTTTCCTAAAAACTTTAAAAAATGTGTTGAAATGCACCTGTCTTCTCAAACTTTTGCCCTTTGGCTTCTGCTTCTCCTTCTGTTGCCCTTTCCTTTTCTGTGGCTTCAACCTTTTCATCACCCTTTCAACACTCTTTTTTTTGTACAGCACATAGTTGTTAAGAGTTTCATAACTATTATTACTCTTACTTGTTAGCAAATTGGAATGCTGCCTTTGGATTATTTCCCTTCTCCCTGAGAATTTTAAATGTTTCTTGGACTGCACAAGTATGCCAAGCCACAATTTAAATGAGTGGCTTTTTTCCAGTCACTCTTTTGAGATTATTTAAATTAAGTATTGTGTTTTTGTTTAAGACTCTTGAGTCACAGTTCTACCTGTGTTTTGAATTATAACAAAATTCAAAACTCCTAGGAAAAAGATAGGAAAATGTTCCTGCATATGCTTATATCTTGAGTACCATGTCCGTTATTGAATTCTGGAAAAATACATAGAAGAGTAACAAGATTATAACTAAAGGAAGGGGGCATGGCTCTGCCAGTCAGAGTGATCCATAGATGTTCTGTTGTGGTATAAAGCAGCTTCATAAAAGGGTGGTCAAGAGGAAACTAATATAGATCTGTAAATTTAATAAAATATCAGAAAGGAACAAATGTTGCCTTTTTGTGTAATGTAAATATTCACTGAACAAAGTACTTTAGATTTTTTGTTGTATGGTTGAATATTAAAAGGTAAATTTCAGAATGATCAAAATGTAGCAAAGTATTGAATTCATGTAGTGAGTGTTATGGCATTTTATTCTTCCTCCTTCACTTCCCATTATTACTGTTGGAGACTGTATACTATATTGTATGGATGGACCAGTGTTTTTCTGTCAGTATTTTCAAGTGGATGTTCAAAAAGATTCTCCATGCTTGACTGTTTCTTTAAAAGTGCATTGGAGGGGAAGAGGAATAAGAGGATAATCTCTAGCAATTGGTTTTTCACACCTCCGTTGGAAAGCTGTTATGGAGTTTTATTTATAACCTTTCATTTCAGTTGAATAGTAGCTGGATTTCCACCATCCGTGCAGGACATGATTCCCTTTGGGATCCACAAACAGTGATTTAAGTATTGGCTGCTGTGGCTTGCTAACTTGGGGCCAAATTAGACATTATGTTAAACATGAGGTTGATGCCAAAAATGTCAGCAGCAAATGTAGCTTCTCTAATCACCCACTGTAAAGTCTAGTAGAACTTACCCGTGTCCTGTCGTGACAATGTTCAAGCCTTTAATTTCATATTATTTTTATTTACCCTGGTCATATCATCAAAAGGCTCAATCCATGGAGCGGGGGGGAGCAACATTGCATCTACTATTCCCTCCATGTCACGGGTGCCTGGTAGGCAGTCACTTCCCCTCATTGTGTGGCCCTAGATAGGCAATGTAATTGTTCCCTGTAAACCGCTCCAAGCAGATTGGTTGCAAAGCAAGAAAATATGCAGAGGTTGAGGGGCAGGTCCCTCTCTACATGATGGATTAGATCTGGTGCCAAATTTTCACTTGCACTAGAGCTTTTACACAAAGGGAAGCACAAGAAAAAGACCATGGTAGCCACTTGCACCAAGACTTGGTATCTCCACTTACATTTCCCCTTGTGGAACCAATCCCAGGGTTTCATGAACCTCGTAGATTCTTGCTTGTCAAAGTGGCTCCAAATGGTACAATATGGGAGATGGAGAAGATTGTTGCACAGGTTCTTGCGTGTGCATGTATATCTTTGTGTATATGAACAAACTAGGGTGGGAGCTGGGGACATTGCACAAGATATCCACAAGCAGAACTATGCTAAGTAGTTTTTTTATATTAATGCATTACTGAATCTAACCCATTGAGCTTACACGCTTTTGAAGATGTAAATAGGGTTTTTGTCTTTTAAGCTGCAAGTCCACTTAGTTCACAATAAACTTGACTCACCTTAGGAATCTTGACTTTGAATACTACAAGATAAGTCTTCGATTGACAACACAAAACGATTCATCTTCTCTTGTTTGAATAAAGGTCTCTGCACACTTTGTGAGGTGCAATAGTCATGGATTAGATTTACTTTAGGGAAATGAACAGATTGCAGCCATGACATAATTGTCAAATGGGTTGCCACCTGAAAGCACTGAACCTAAGATAGATTCTACAAACCACTTACACACATGGACTAACATGAAAACTGAAAAGCACCCTGATTGATTTGCTCCATGTGTGGATTTCAAATGGCATACAGGACACCTCAAATGGGACGTTTGCGGTCCCTTGGAGAGGGGACATTTTTCGATACAGTCATCTTACTCTGGTTCGTTAATGGGAGAGCCCACGCAAGGAAAGAAGTAGCAGTGTATTAGAGTTCCTGGGTATCAAAGCTGTATCTCAGTAGTGGCAATTATTATTTATTAAAATAGTCACATCTCACTTTCCCTGCTACCAAAAAGGATTATTGAAGTACATAAATAAATAAATAATAATGTAGTGCAGGTCTGGGGGATACACACTCTTATGCTGCTTGTCAACTGCAATTTTATTATGAATCAAATACTATTGGTGTAAGTCTGCACCAGTGTTTTAGCTGCATGGCCTCCACTGATGCCCCACCACCCACCTGCTGTTACCACCATCCTCTTATTCATTCATTTTGCGTAGCCTGTGGTAAATCCTGGGTTGTTTCATATGGCACCATCTCAGCAGCTGTGCCCTGTCCTTACCTTTACCTTCTGACACAGTAGCCTAAATGATTATACTGTTAAATTCCAAAGAACTAATTTGAACGCTATTTCATGAGTGATATATATATTGAAGCCTTTGAATGTTATGGTTCTGTGGCTTAAACCAACTCTCTCCCTCCATCACTGTCCTGGTTTTTGTTTTCAAGTCTATTTATTTAGTCTCATGAGTAGTATTGGAATGGAACACAAAACTACCGTAAGCGGTTTGTGATGCTTGCTTGCAGCTAATTTTAATGAGCTGGGCAGAGAATTTAAATTATATATGTATAATCTTTGTACATTAAAAAGTGACCTAGTTAAACCAGTTAAACACTACTGAAGTT